AAAGATAATATAAGAATCTTCATATAGAATATAAAAGACTTTTGACCCATCCCGTAGCGTGAATGGAATGGATGTGTTGGTTGTTGATTTTCAATCAATCTCAATTAATCTCGAGTTATTGATGATTGAGAAGCGGCTCATCTTCTCTCACTCTCTCTAGTGATTACCTGTATTCTACCAACAACAAAATCAAGGAACAAAATCATGAAAAATAAGAACGAAATATTTTTCTTTAGACGAACCTTAAGAAGGGAATATTTCTTTATTTTATAATCATGATAAGTACAATGATAGTTACAATGAAATGAATAAACGTTGTGCCTTTATGAATTGAAAAACTTTGATATCATTGTATAATTAAAAAAAAATGTTCATGTAGAAAAATAAAATGAGGAATGAAGTCGATATAGCATAAGATGAGCCCTCCATCCGACATTGATACATCGTGTGCTCAGCTGTACAAATCCTGAAAAAAGATAATATTTTATTAGAAATATTAATATAACAAGAATGAAGTTCATATCAAGGTTTATGAAAAAACCTCAATAAATAGGGAGAGTAGAGCAAAATAGAACGTTCAATTCTAGATATCTCTGGTTATGAACCGAAATATTTAGATTTTTACTTGTTGACGAACGTTCCACTTTGCGCTATATTGCGCTAATATCCAGATTTTCAAAATCTTTCATCTATAAAATTGTATTTCATTTATGCTGATTTTTTTTTTCATCTGAGAATGCTACAATTTTGTTTATACACACACACAAAAATCTTACAGAAAAACATGACGAATTCACTCCACGGTTCTATGAGGTTTCGAACGTTTCTGTTGAACTTTATTAGATTTTGAATGTGTTTATTAGAATGTTCAATAGAACAAGTTGTATAGAAAAAAAATCCTGTTGGGTTTTTCTGTGGAATATTTTCTATTGGACATTTTAAGAGAAAATGATCAAAAAACTAAAAAAAAATAAAATAGAAATCTCGGCTAGAATTTTCTTTGCAATTTTTTCATATGTGATTCCCTTTTACTAGTCAAAATATTCCAATATCTATCTTCTAATTTTCTTGATTAAATGCTCAAGCGTAAAAGAATGTGGAAAACTTGTTCACATGAAAATTTTGAAAAAATTTCATAGAAAATTCTAACCAATTCATGGGACAGTTCTATTGGATATTCTATTGAATTTTCTATTAGGTTCTTAATCGTTTCTATTGGAATGTTCAATAAAAAAAATTCATAGAAAAACTCAATAGAATTTTTTGAAATTAACATTCCAATAAAGACAACAAAAAATCTGATAGAAAATTTAATAGAAATTCAATAGAATTTTCCCATGATCTGGCTAGAATTTTGTATGAAATTTTTTCATGTATGATACCCTTCCACTGACCAAACATCTTGATTTTTAATGCACAAGCGTAAAAGAATGTGACTTTTTCGTATGAAAAAGTTTGAAAAAAATGAAATTGTCCTCTAACGTTGTCATGCATGAGGAAGGAATTATTATCATCGCCATTCATAACGATAAATAACAAAATCTCACCACTTTTTATGGAACGTTGTGAACATCATTGCAGCGATTGCAACGAGGACAACCATGTCCAGCTGCGCATGGCGGGAGTGGTGCTCTCTCAAAGAAGAAGGATGGACCTTCTGGAAGCGTTCTCAGAACAGTTGAAATGCCAACCAGGTCGACATAGATGTTCATGTCTGTTGTTGCTCCATCATGAAGAGCCATGACGATGACCATGTGGAGAACAGGTCTAGGCAGTAAATTCATCCACTCATTTGGTACCCAAACATTTGGTACTACCATTGAATAACTTGGGTGCTGGTGTGCCATTTTGTCCTTCAAATTCAATCTAACAAAGGAACAAGAGTAAATGTAATACCATTTAAAATCAGTAAATTACACTTGAAAGAGAATTCTATTCATAAAAAATTATCCAAATTATTTTGCAATATATTTTTTTTTTCATGGCAAAAGGAGGTTTCTTGGATGACAGAGTGAATGCAACTCACAAATTATTGTGGGAATATTGAATAACCATAAGTGGAAATCATTGAATATTTCTCAAAAGTTTCGTTGTAAAATGAATAATCAAAACAATAATAAATCTGTTCAATTTCGAAAAAATGTAAGCACGTGGAATAAAAGCTCATATGAAAATTTTTCACCCCCTGAAAATTTTGATCGATTGAGTAGTATTTCGTTATTCCCATGCACTAAACTTGAGAATAATATATCTTCACTCTATTTTCTTCAGCATTTGAACAGAAGAAATCATTTACGAATGCTTTAAAATAATGAAGTAAAAAATTGCCAACTTAACACCCTCTCAGATTTTTCCGCTTGTGTTGAGAATACGAATATTCGATTGATGAAGGAGTTTGTTGCATTCACTTAAAGGATAAAAAAAATCACTCGAAAATATTTGCACACTCTTGAAAAAAATTTAAAATCACACCGATAATTAATAATCCTCACAATCACTTCATTGTCACTTGAAAGAATACTTACACTCTCGAAAATCCACCGGAATCGCTTATACGTCACTCAGATGTCACTGGTCCTCACGTGGTCATGACTAATTAGTCACTGCTAGAATTAAAATGATGCGTCGATGCATTTGAGGGGGGTATATATACACTCCGATTGCTTATGTTTTCAGGAGCGACAAGGATAGAGAGAAAGACTCGAATCCTCTCGAATGAAAATCAAAAATGAAAGATGATCCCTTTTGCGAGGTAAGTCGCAAGTGTATCATATCAGTACGTTCAATAATCAAAAGAAAACAATAGATTCTGTGGATGTAATCCTATTTTGTGAAACTGTTATTCGATTTGCATAGTTATTTTGCATAAACGTTGGGAATGACTTTTCTAGATCGATGTGAACCAACAGTTCCAAGAATTGTTTGTCCGCCTGGATTCGAAGGACTGTTGTCGTCGATGAAACGGTTCGATCTTTCTAGGGCAATATTGCGTAATTTTTTAGACTATAAAAGGGTATGCACCCACCGAGCAAATTTAGTTCTAATTTTAGTATTTCACCAAACTCTACTACAGAGAAAAATTTTGCCTCGAAAAACATGGAAGTGATTGTGGACCTGCAAGGCTTTCGAGGAGTGTTGGATGAGTTTCTTGTGAAAGAATTAGCTTGCATACATGTGAACACCAGTGATAATGGGTATCAAGGGTTGGAATGCATTCTATTTCAACCCCCGTACGCCTGGGATGCACTTTCCATGAAGTCAAAAAATATGAATTCATGGTTGAGTGAGAATTTCCACGGAATCCCCTGGAACGCTGGTGATACACAGTATGAAGACTTAAAGAAAATAATTCACAGACTGGTCAAAAACGCCACCACCATTTATATGAACGGGCAACAAAAACAACAATTCCTCGATGAAATTCTTGATTCCTCAAAACCAGTCGTGAATTTAGAAAATTTCAACTGCCCTAAGTTATCAACATTGAATCTATTCACGTGCCATCATCATGATCATGACAATCACGCTTTCCATTATACTTGTGCTCGAGAGAATGTGGAGAACCTGAAAATGTGGTTCCTGAAGAACTGTACACCTTCCCTTGACAGGGCTCTGAAGATGTATTGTCACCTGGACAGTCTCAAGACTATGGCTGCTGAGGATATTGCATTCTTTCCGAAAGAGTTTCTTCTTAAGGTTGCATCTACTGATATCGAGGAGATTTGGGAGGAATTACCTGAAGAGATGCGCAAAGACGAAGACATAGACAATTGCCGCAGATGTCGACGACACGACCCCTCATTGCTTGATGATGATACTGATGAGAATAAAAAATTATTGGATGAACTCCCTCATTGTGTCTTTCCGATGAAAAAAAATTGTTATCTGTGTAAAATGTTCAAGAAAATTCAGAAATAAATAAATTGATAGTACGCATTTTTCGAAAAATCCACTTCCTCTTTTATCCCTAAAATTTCCTTCATTCCGTCCTATATTACTTGTTACAGGCGGAAGAGGGAGGAAGGAGCAATGAGTGCATCGATAGTGACTCGGTTCTTACCCTCGCATTAAAGAGAATGAACGAGATTGACGTGTCAAATAAAGAAGACAAATGACAAACAAGACAAACAAGAAAAATGTGACTAAAAATATATTCACCATTAGAAAGTTCTTCCATTAAAGCAAAAAATCCCGTACTATGGGAGCCGTAAGGATAAATACGATCAGTATCTAAGTGAATTCCTATTTAAATTCAAACACCCGCACGGTGAACGAATCAATAAATTCTTTAGATTCCTGAGTGAAAACGACCCTGTGTAAACCAATGACTCTTCCATTGCCTCTTTGAAAGAAAAAATCTAAACACACTAATTAAAGAAATAAGTAACACCTATTAATAAATTTAAACTAAACAACCACGATAATTATCTTCGAGTGATTAAATTACTGTGATAAATTCTGCGATTAAATTTAGACTCAACAACTACGAACTGTTAAATCAGCTTTAAAAATACACTCATAATAAAGTTTTAAAGACATATTTTAAAAAAGTTATTCGTGTCGTCTAAACAAATAATAACCAGAATTTAAACAAATTTAACAACATTACAGAAGTAATCAAATTACTGTACATAACGCATAAAGAGGAAAAGTAATTGATTTAGAACAAATTCTTAAACTAATAAAATTTTATAAAATTATTGCTTTAGAAGGAAAGCGGAGATCTTAGACAGTTCTAATTATTTGAAGTGAATTATAATAATTATCAAATATTCAAGCCGAGGATCGATACTGAAGTGATAGTGATTGTTGTTCGCATGGGACCAGTCGCCACCACTTCCACGTATTTTATCCTGGGTTACGCCAAAAGTGGTTTAGATCCGTCATAGTCATCAATAATATTTTTCAACATCAGATCAAATTAAAAAAACAACCAGAAAATGTCTCGAAATATAGGCCCGTAAAGTACACAAATATCATTCATTCAATACCTGGGAGTGATGATCGATGCCCGACTCAATTTCAAGCAGCAAACAGAGCACCTGGGAGTCAAGGCGTCTGGAGTCAGATCCACATTATCGCGCCTCATGCCTAACATCGGGGACCCAGAACAAAGAAGAAGAGCCCTGCTGTCGTCAGTGGTCACGTCAGTGCTCACCCACGGCACTTCCATATGGGCTGATACACTCAAACTGCAGGAAAACTCAGTCTATCGACTGAGTGCTTTGCGAGTCACGAGTGCCTATCGTACGGTATCCGAAGATGCAGTATGCGTCATAGCCGGGATGCTCCCCATAGAATTATTGGCCGAAGAACGAAGGTCATTTTATCAGCGAAGGGAATCTGAGAAACTGAGCACAGCAGAACTCAGGGCAGGAGAGAGGCAAAAAGTCTGCAGCAATGGCAGGAGAAGTAAGATAACTCGTCGAAGGGAAGATGGACTCACCAGCTGATCCCACAGGTGAGTGCTTGGTTGAACCGTACATATGGTGAGGTAAATTATTACCTGACGCAAATGTTTTCCGGACATGGGTGCTTTCGGGCGTATCTTCATAAATTCAAACATGGGGATTCCCCGAAGTGTCCGATCTACACCGAAGTCGACGAAGACGCGGAGTATGTGTTTTTTAGATGTCCCTGCTTTAGCGAGATCAGGCGTGTTTGGGAATCTAAACTAGGAAGAGAAGTCTTGCCTGAAAAGATGGTGGAAGATATGCTGTCATCGCAGGTCGCCTGGGACGCAACGCGAGACTTTGCGGCAGGAGTCGTGAAGGAGTTCAGAAGAGAGGAAGGCGAGCGCAAAGCTGCAGGATAGACGGAGAACCTATTGGAACCTCCTACCCACGCACAACATCCTAGTAAGGTAGGGGGATGTACATTAGGTGAAAATAAGGAAGAGTAAATAGCTGAGACCTTCCTCGTGAAGTAATACTTAGCTGTAGTGCGCGAGGGAAAGGCGAATACATGATAAGAGGTGAAAAGAGGAAAAAAGGGTTTTTACTGGGTAAGAATCCCAGATCTGGTTTTTAACATCACTTTACCAAAATCTTTGGACAAGCCGAGGCTTATCCTTCTTAGGACATCTTGGAGGAGGAACCCAACTCTAAAAGAGATGTGCAGGGTGGGCTCCCTAGAACAGCCTACAATAAAGAGAACAGGAAGGGCTCCCTTTACTAGCCTAGAATAATTATGACGAGTGATGACAAAATACAAAGTCCCCATGCGGGTATCCCTGGAAAGGACAATCCCGCCATCAGTTCCGATGCCGGCTCCCTGGATTGCGGCAGGAGCCAATCATCACTTTCTTCCAAGGTGGACCACTTGGTCTCAAATTCTACAAGTTGGGTAGAGTTACAGACTCAACAGGAGGAAGTATGCCGTCACGCTTGGGCAACTTGGACAACTCATTATAGAGTTACATGAGTTTGTTCAGCCCAAGATTAATGTCCACAAGGAGATCAAATCCAAAGTGGCATCTATCGGCAGCACGTTCAAATGACTCAGGAGCTTACAGGAGGTATGCAGCAAGGCCCAGGCCCCCATTGCTGAACCCGTGCAGGCTGTATTACTACCACACAGGTCGCGCTCACGGACGGACTCCGAAACGACGGTCAAAGACTCGGAGGTAGAGGATTGGAGTACCACGCAGTCAATTCGAGGTCTCGAGAAGAGAGATGTCCGCAAAGCAGTGCGGAGGGAGCGCTCGAAAGGCTCACTTGCAGCAGAAGCTCAAAAACTGAAGAAGCTGAAGCAACAGAATCTGACCAGCAAGACAGCCCCGCAGGGGAAAGAACTGGTTGATGGGTCAGACTGGAAGCTGATTGAATCTAAGAGAGAGAAGAAGAGACGAGATGAGAAGCTGCTCCAAAAGCCTTTTTCCGAGAAAAAAGAGCCCAAGAAGCAGAAGAAGATCCGTTGGAAACCAGTGCCCAGACCTGATGCCCTGATTGTCCGACCCAAGGACAAGGAGAAATACTCTGACATACTCCGCCGAGTAAAGAAGGATGTCCTTGCAGAGGAAGCTCAAGATTGCGCCGATAAAATCCGCCGACAGCGACCGGGGATATGTTGATAATTTTGACCAGGTAGACGGTCGATGGAGCTCTTCAGCTGCGTAGAACCATCGCCAGTCTCCTTGGAGATGAAGCTAAGATACTCAGTAAGGGGCCGACAGAGGATTAGGAGATAAAGGATCTTGATGAGACCACATCGAAGGAGGATGTCCTGGTGGCCCTACAGAAAGTAGCCTGGGAGGAGCTCAAAATAGCCCCTGAGGCTGTCAAGTCTTTGCGTAAGGCATATGGAGGAACCCAGACTGCCTCAGTGACACTCGCGGCAGCTGCTGCGAAGAAGATCCTGGGGGAGTACGAGAAAATCAAGATAGGCTGGGTCAATTGCCGCATCAGGAGGGTTGAGAGACCCATAAAGTGCTTCAAGTGCTAGCACAATAGACATCTCGCCACGAAGTGTACGAGTGTAGTCGACCGGGCACGAGGCTTCAGAGTGCAAAAATAAACCCCGATGCGCCTTGTGCACTGAGAAAAGCAACACGGAGGACTGTGCCCACATTGCTAGCAGCAGTAGGTGTCCAGTGTAAAAGGAGGCACTCCAGAAGGTCCTCAATAAGCGACGATGAAGGTACTCCAGCTCAATCTCAACCACTGTGAGGCAGCGCATGACTTGCTCATGCAGACGGCGCGGTAATTCGATCTTGCCATCATTTCAGAGCCATATCGTCACCCGGACACTGGATGCTGCGTCACTGCCGCCAGCAAGAAGGCGGCGATCTAGGCCTGTGAGAATCGACCATTCCAAATGACCATTCTATAGATGCCAAGCAGCACTTTCCCGTGGCAATAGCCGGCGACTTCAATGCTTGGGCAGTCGACTGGGGGAGTAAGGAGATTAACACCAGAGGGCTATCTGTACTGGAAGCCATGTCAGGGTTGTATGTTGTCCTGATGAACAGCGGCGATGAACCCACTTTTATGAGGGAAGAGGCGAGCTCGATTGTGGACATTATCTTCGTGAGCAGCACCCTTGCAAAGGGGAACTGCTCATGGAGAGTAGCGGATGTCTACACAGCCAGTGAATAATGTGCAAGTTAACGGACTCACTGAAGTATCCCAATAATTCCTACATATATATAATAATCAAGATAATAGAATACTAATACAATTTACTAATTGAGTCGGACTTGTCAGGAAAAAAAAGTTCTACACACTATTAATAGTGCGAAAAATAGACTATGAATTCACTCGTGAAATAATAGGATATTTCCTGCAATTTATAAAGTTGAAAATGGATCTTAGCAATCTTTATTATATCTCATTTGAGAAGAAACATATCAACGAGTACCTTAGGAAGGTCGGAGTCTGAAGTCACACTATCTCTGTCTGGAGTGCGGTGAACAGATGTACACTGACTATAATCTCAATATATTTCGATGCTAAAGAGCTTGATAATAATAATCAATAACAAGCGAAAGAGAGTCCAGATGAGATGTACCGTTACCTAATTTATTTAGATTAATTTTTACATACATACATAACGATGTGACTACACTCGAAACCCTTAGTTTTGAATCAAAGTTATCAAAGCAAACGGTTCGTAAATGGATTAAGAGCATCAATAGTGTATTAACGTGGTGGGACATCGATTGCCAAGTTAACCGTTTGGGCGGGGTGGGGATTGTTGTCGAAGCCGATGAACTGAATTACGGTGGGAGAAAGACGAAACTCGGGCGTAAGCCAAAGGTGAAGCAATGGATATTGGGATTATGGGAGAGGGTAACGGGGAGGCTTGTGGTCCTCAAGGTCCCCAACCGCTCCAGTGAGACTCTATCAGCCCTTGTAGAACAACACGTGATTTTGGGATCAACGATTTACACCGATTGTTGGTCGGGTTATTCCGGGTTGTCAGTTAATTATATCCATATGCGAGTGAACCACAGTGTCATGCATGTGAATTACATGAACGGTGCACACATCCAAGGTATCGAAAGAGCTTGGAGAGAGTTTCGACGTCTGTTCCCGAAGTTCGGTGTGAGGATGGAGGGTGTAGAGGAGAAATTGAGCAAATTTCTTTTCACATATACTGTCCCCAGGCCGAATAGGGTTAACACCTTCTTCAGGATTTTAGGTAACTACATCAATCCTAATAACCATTAATCTAGCCAATCGCAAAAAATAATTTATTCAATAATTCAATTCTTTGAGAATTGTGTCGAACAATGATTGGTGAAGATTGGCTCTATTGATTGAGTTCAACGGTTACGCCCATGAAAGAGTAGTTGTTCCAACGTGTGTCATAATCATTTAATTATTTTTATTTATTTTATCATATTCATTAAATTTGACTTAAATTCAATTGCCCTTAGGAGGAAGGGTGGGGATAAATAGATCCTTTCGCCAATTGTATTACCCTTGGACGTTTTACGGTTGATGCTTAGGCTCTTCTCCTGGGGTCAGGCATAAGTACGTCCTCGTCGTGATCCTGGGTAAAAGCCAAACTCGATGCAATTCCAAATAATTAATGTACAGAAGGTCATTAATCTCTAAGACTAGCTGGAAGTAATTTGGAGAAATCGCTTCAATTGGTGGTTTGGTTATTGGTTCCGACTGTCGTTCACTGATTATTTGGAATTTAGTATTAACGATAATATCCATATATTAATAATATATTAAATAATATTATAGGAGCTAATATTGGCTTAATTCCGTGAGCCAGCTATAACATCATATTACCAACCAGTGATCACCGTGCGATAGTCTGGGAGGCACGTACTCGCCAGAGAGTCACCATGACGCCTAAGAAGACCAACTGCATTAGCTGGAGAGTGAGCAGTTTCGATCCCAGCTCTTATTCGATAGCACTGGATGACCGCCCAATCAGTGGCAGCTACCATGTCCAGGAAGCGTATAACAAACCTGCATTCACCTGTGCATTGGAGGAATGACACGATCGCCGTCCTACGGAAACAGTGTAATGCAGCCAGAAGATTGTTCCAGCGTGGCTGTAAGAAGCCAAACTTTGAGGAGTTGGAAATGCAGTATAAGGAGGCACGCCGGAAGCTCAGCAAAGCGATCAAAAGTAATAAGAAGCAATCCTGGAGTGAACTCCTTAATGAGGTGGAAGGTGATCCATGGGGGAGACCGTTTAAGGTGGTGATGATGCGAATCAAGCGTGAACCAATGCCAGCGCCTACGTGCCCCGTGCTAATGGAGAGAATCATCACGGTGTTGTTCCCGCAACAACCAGAGCTTCACTACACTGACGAACAGGAAAAAGAGATAATGGTCCCATCAATCACCAAAGAAGAATTGATGGAAGCCTGCAATAGAGTGGGTAACACCAAGGCGCCTGGATTTGATAGAATTCCCAATATCGCGCTGAAATCAGCTATTCATGCGATTCCAGATCTGTTCTTAGACGTCTACAACGAGTGCTTAAC